GCCAAAAAAGATTAAAAAAAAAACCTAAAAATAAAGCCAGAAAAAAGTTGTTTGAATAAAAAGATGAAAACTGAGAACTGGGTTAAGGAAAATGCACACTTTAACCAGTTTTTGACTGTTCTGTTTTTTCTTTTTTCACAGCAACACATCAGTTTAACTGTAATTCTCAGTAAAAAATATCCTACAAAGAAAAAAGAAAAAAGAGCTTTGTTTTTAAAATCTGAGAAGAAAAAAGATGTAACTTTAAAAACTTATTTGGACTTTATTTTGTGACTTAAGAAACTGATTATTTAATACTTTGAAAATTTAATTAAAAAGCGCTTTTTTTTCAGATTTTTTTTCGGCTTTACCTCTTTCGTCTTCTTATTTTTCCATGTTTATCTGTTTTGTTTTTTGTTTTTCTGGTTTTTTTACCTCTTTTTTTTGAGAAGATTATTTGCTAAAGAAGATCTTTTTTCCTTCTTTTTTTTTTTCAGATGGAAAGTGAATGGTCATCAAATTTTGTCTTTCCGCTGTTATCGTTGTTAGAAAATACCAAAAATGAAACTGCTGTTTATGTTCGAGCGACCGAAATCTGCAAGTGAGTTATTTGCACTATATTTTTCTAACATTTTTCAACATTTTTCTAGTATTTTTTAGTTCTTCCTGTTTCCTCTTTGCCTTTTTTCTTTTCTTTTTTTTTCTGTTATTATTACTTTAAAATGCCATTTTAGTAGTTTAAATTTAGTTACTAAATTTTGAAATTAGGCATCAACTGATCAGATGCTTATCCATCCCATATGTCAACAGATTATTGTTATGGTTGTCATTCAGATCAGTACAGCTAACAGCTAACAGGAAAATCTCCGATTTTTTCTTGTCTGTTCCTTTTTTTGCCGTCTTCTGCTTTGAAACAGCACTATAATTTCATATCTGTTCTTCTTTTTTCTTTTTTTTTTTCTGTCACTGAGAAGATAAAAAAATTTATTTATCTGTATTTTACATAGTAAAAAACTGTTACGTTTAGACTTGTTTGCTTACATTAAATAAATGCTTTTTCTCTTAGGACTATTAATTTAAAAAACAAAAAAAATTGACGACAAACAAATAAGAAGTGGAAAAAAAAACTCAAGTGAAAAACGGAATATTTAGAACAAAATTTATTGCTATATTTTGCTGTTTAATTTTTGACGACAACATTCTCAGCAGAGCAGTTTTTCTTCCTATTCTGCAAGTACTAAAAGACATATCTATTTCTGTCTTTACTTTTTTTAAAAATTTTTTTGTTGTTTTTTTCTCGTTTTTTTTACATTTTATTCAAAAACTACCTGTAATCTTTTTTAAAACTAAAAAATTGTTTTTAAAAATGCGGAAGAAAGCGCTAATTTTAGTGCCGATAACCACGGTGTGAAATGAAGAATAGTGTTCTTTGTTTTCTCTCTTTTTTTTTCTTAAAGATTGATTCTAAGAAAAGAACACAACTAAATCATTGAAGATTATCGTTTTTCTCAGTTTTTTTGGTCGAAGATTTTCTAAACAGCAACCAGTATCAATTAAAACACCAACACCAGCATCGTCACCAACACTGTCGCCATCATCATCGTCATCATCGTTACTACTATTAACAGCTAACCAAAACAGCAAAATAGTGGCGGCAACAGCGGTAAGACAAAGAGGAGACAAAAAAAAGCAAATAAAAACATAGAAAAATAACGATAAAAAATGAAGTTTAATGAGTGTCATAAATTACTTATCAAATGACACAAGTATGATCTTCTCGTGCTGGTCAGAACATGAAGAAAAAATGAAGACGGAAGCGGTTGTGAAGGAACGGAAGTAGGAAAATAGTGATCGGGGAGAAAACTGAACACTGACCGCGGACTATACCTAACAAAACAACTTCTTAGTCTATTCCTTATTTTCAGTCTACTGTCTTTTTTTTTGTGGTTATACTCAAAACATTTTTTCATATTCTGTATAGTTGTCAGTTTTCATTATGTGTAACATAATCAACTGTTTGCCCAGTAAACATCAGAACGCCATCAGGCAGCAAAATTATAAGAAAAAGGAGTAATTTTAATGGATTTAAAAAGCGTAGTAAAAGATTTCTTTCTATCATTCACTCCTGTTCAAATGCTTTAAGGTTTTTTTCAAAGTTTAATAAAAGTCATCTTCTTTTTCCCGCTTTCTCTTCTTTCAAACACTAACTAAAACTAGCAGGTTTTCATGAGCAGAAAAAAAAAAGAAGAACAAGCATGTTGAGATCGGATAATAAACAAATACGCGTTTTTCTCTCATCATTCAAATGCATCTAACTTCTTCGTCATTTGAGCATATCAATTATCTTTTACCATTTGCATTCACTTTTTCTTCTTTTCTCGGTTTTTTTACCAGAACAAGGATAACTGAACAAAATAATTTTGCTTTTTTATTTTCATTTTTTCAGAAGTAACCAACTGCTGTTTGAGTGTCTGCAAAATTGTGAATTTTCAAAAGAAAGAACTTTGCTGACGATGGGGCTTGAACCGTGGCGTGAAATTTGCTCTAATTTACCAAGTTTTCTTTCGTTTTGTTGCTTTTTCTTTTGCAAATTTGCTATAGTGATATAATAAAGCAGAAAAAAGGCAGTGTAAGGAAAAAAATTTGCCTTTTTTGATCCGAAATACAAATTAGTTAAATTTTTAGTTATGAATAAAAAGTTGTCATTAATACTGAGACTTTTAAGACGATTGTAACGGTAGAAATAATGCTTGATTCAGAGTAGAATGTTTAGCAATAGCAGGCTTTTAGCAAAATAAAAATAAATGCTTTGAGAAATTTCCTACAATACTCAATTTTATCGTTTCTCTATCAGTATTCTGTTCTTTACTTTCTCTTTATTTTTTTTTATTTTTAACTATACTAACCTAATAAATGATTCATGTTATGGTAAAAAATAATTTTTTCGTAATACTTGCGTATTATAGCTTTACAAGACCAACTTCCATGCTGGCGATCAAACATTGAGCTGTTATCGCATTCATGCGATGAGGAACGAATTGTTCTTCGAAGTTTGTTGCTTCAGTTAGCAAGCGGTTATTCGTTTGCTGCACTGAAAAAAATATGCGAGTAAGTTGCAAACTGTCTTACAAAATATTTGCTAAATAAATTTTTTTTATTTTTTTTGTAAAGTTAACATAATTTATTTAATTATTCATTTTACTGTCCAGTCATAGCAATTATTTAAAGGTATTAACTAAATAAAAACAATTATACAGCGTATTTTTTTCAGAACTGTCGAACAGCTAGCATCTTGTGCAGTACAAAACTATAACACATATTGTGGACCAAAAAGTGCTAAGGTAAGCCATTTAATATGAGAGTAGTCTGTTAAAAAAAGCAACAACAACATTAACGATATTAAACAGCAACTGGTCATTCTAACTTTGTATTAGGTTAAATAAAAAGCTGTATTAATACCTATAATTACAGTAGAGATTTACGTAGATCTGTAGCTGCTAGACCTCACTAGACCAATTATTTTTAATGGGTGATTATTTTTTTGTTGTTTAAGCTGTATCCTTATTTTTAAACTACAAAAAAAAAAAAAAAAAAAAAAAAAAAAAAA